TGTGTGTGTGTGTGTGTGTGTGTGTGTGTGTGTGTGTGTGTGTGTGTGTGTGTGTGTGTGTGTGTGTGACTGTGTGTGTGTGTGTGTGTGTGTGACTGTGTGTGTGTGTATGTGTGTGTGTGTGTGTGTGTGTGTGTGTGTGACTGTGTGTGTAGTATGTGTATGCATGTGACAGATGTGTATAGGTGTCTATCTGACTACACAGCTATTTATGCGGATGTACTTTGCCGTCCTGTGTATATTTCATCTGGTCTGTGCATTCCTGTATACACACACACACATAAGCTCTCACACGGGCTCACACATGTATACATACTTGAGAACACGAACACACACACACACACACAAACTATATAACATCCTAGGAAAAGAATCATTGTAATACCTTGAGATTACAACACAATATTCGTTACCTTCCCTCTGAAATACAATATACTACCAATACAAAGCAACAAATCTTATATAAACTAAAATACACAAGATAAGAAAATACACAAAGAATATACCATCATTGTAAGACCGATAATACTGGTAATACACAATAGATACACAGCGTTACTCCTACATATGTGTGAAAATGAATAGACGAAAAATATACAATGCAAATCTAGTTATCAGCTTTAATGGCCTAAAAATACACTGAAATACACCAGTTATGTCCCCTGCCCGATATTACATTTTCTATCTGATTTTCAAATAACTAGCTACGCCAGTCAGGTAGTCACTAATTTGTTACGTCATAGTCAGGTTAAGTAATTAACAAAAATAATTTACATCAACGTCTGTTTACCTTTAATAACATGATACGTCAGCTGGCCAACAATAACATTTGACGTCATAGACAGGAAATCAATAATAAAACATGTTAGTTCATCGTCATCATCATTATCATCATCATCAGGTAATTAACAATAACACGGAACTGACACACGCTGTGAATACATCTCAGACCTGATAAATATCTCATCTGCCTGGTAGGTGGGTGGTGGTGACGCGGTAGGTGGGTGTAGTGTACGTGGGTTGTAATAGGTTGGTGTTCAGTGGGTTTAGAACTATTAAAACAAAAACGAAAACTGAAACCATAAAAAAAACATTGAAAAATAAACCAATCGGCATGGGGAATAAAACGACATCGTCTTCACAGAGTCGTATAAGAGATTTGGAGTCAAATGAAGACCCGAGGGAGAATATAAAGGGACGGTGGCCGTGAGAGGCGCGGCCGGGTGCTAGACTGACGCTGTCATGAACAAGTCAACGCGAGTAAAGTCTCTTTCCTGGTGAAGAGGCGTGACGCAGTCTGGCGCAAGATACCAGGGGGAGGAGGCACTGAGAGAATGACACGTAATGAGAGAACGACACATACTCAGTGAATGAAACACACACACACACACACACAGGAACTCTCAGTGGATGACACATACGTGTACTCGGTGAATGAGACACACACTTAGTAAATGACACACTCTAAATAACTTGGAGTGAATGCAGTATAAGACACGTACTTAATAAATGATACAAAGTAAATGGCACATAATCAGTCACGACACACTCACAGTCAACGAAACACACTCAATGAATTATATGGATAACAAGTAACACACTGTGCAAATGACACAGACTAAGTGTATGACAAACTCTGAGAAAGAGACGTGTACAGGTCAAGAGTTAAGCTTCCGTAAAGAAACCAACAGCTGCGATGGCCAGTGAACATAGGAGCAGAAACTCTTCATTTCAGTGGTAAAAATAAGTTAATAAAGAAGTCTTATAGCCTTATTTTCTGATGAACGCATATATTAAAGTTCCATACGTTTGGCTGTCTGAGAATTTTAATGAAAAAGAATAGCCACATACTTTAAAGGGAAAGAATTAGGGGAAATGTAAATAAAAAAAATTAAAACGTATGTCTTTGTCTATTGATTTTTTTCTGTAAATATTATCGGGAAAGTGAACAATGATTGGTAATAATTAAAGTGGGGGAAGCGATTCTACACTTTCTGTAGTTTAATGAACACTTTTTTATGACGTTGTGTACCAATCTTCCTGAGTCTCAGTTTTTTTAAATTAATTATGTATTCGGAAGTAGCAAAAACTCAGTTACTTGATAAATATTTGCTTTGTCAGTAATTTTGGTATCACTCGTGTGTGTGTGTGTGTGCGTGTGTGTATGTGTGAGTGAGTGTGTGTGTGTGTGTGTGTAGTAGACATGAATTAATTTACCCAAAAGTGCTAGTTTTTTCCTCCCCAAACTTGTCCCCTGGGTTGTATTGTGTTGACCTCTCCTCCTCACACCATGAACCCCTATCCTTAATACATCACTCCTAACATCGTAAATACGTTATTAACATATAATTACGTTTACAGAGTCAATACCTGGTTGAGAAGAAAAAAGTTATTCTGTTTCGCGTGATAACTGCCTTAGAAAACTTGGTATGTCGCTGTACAAGGTGATTTTTTTTTATAATGCTGTTTAATAATCCATGAAATGATATGATTACACACAAGGGAGGGAATTATAGGTGAGTACTATACCAGCTGGACTAATAAAGAGTACAAGACTGCTAGAGTACAAGAAGGAGTGGAAGGATGTATGTGCACTGAAACCCAATTGTAAAGTAGAGAGAGTGAATCGAGTGAAGGAATAAGGAGGTGATAGGTAGTATAAAGGAGGGGAATAAGGAATTGGTGAGAATCAATGAAGGATGCAAGTACTGAGCTGGTTTGGTCAAGTAGAGAGAGAGAGAGAGAGAATGGATTGACACAGATTGACAGAGAGAAGATACCACGGGAGGAGAGAAAGGTTAGGAGGAATAACAGGCGACTGAGAGAGAGAGAGAGAGAGAGAGAGAGAGAGAGAGAGAGAGAGAGAGAGAGAGAGAGAGAGAGAGAGAGAGAGAGAGAGAGAGAGAGAGAGAGAGAGAGAGAGAGAGAGAGAGAGAGAGAGAGAGAGAGAGAGAGAGAGAGAGAGAGAGGAGCAAAAACATAAGACAACGCACATGTTTTAGTCATAGAAAAATAAATTATGTAACATGTCTAAACGTCAAGTCATAATGTAAAAAGCTTATACTTACATCTCTAGTTCAACATTGTTAACAAAAGACGTCAAGGATGTCATAATGTCGTGTTATGGAATGTTTGAGTGGCCGAGGCTCTGTAAATGATGTAATGGGATGACATCTGTGGAATAATTTTAAGTGTTATTATGAAATTATTACGATCTCTCTCTCTCTCTCTCTCTCTCTCTCTCTCTCCATTCAGTTACAGTATGAAAGAATCGTTGTTTGTTGGAGAGTTGTTAGTCACGCTACGTGTTTCTTTGTGGTGGTAGCGTGAACACACGTATTCAGTGGTGGAGATACGACCTCTTCCACACACACACGCACACACGCACACGCACACACACACACACGCACATCGTCTTGAAATGGTGGGCAGCTGTTTTGATTACGAGACCATTGTATTTGTGTGTGGGGGGGAGGAGGGGTGGGGGTTATACATTATGTGTGTGTGGGGGGAGGGGTGGGGGGTATATGTGTGTGTATGGGTGGGTAGGTATGTGTGTGTGTGGGGGGGAAGAAGGTATGTCTGTATGTACTTTATATGTTTGCTTTTTTTTTGTGTGTGTGTGTGTGTGTGTGAATGTTCCGTGAGTGCATTCCATACTAATAAAAACTGGCTAGACTGAATGTTAATATTTATACAAGACAATCTTTCCATGTGGCTAATATTTAATCAATATAACTATCCATCTGGTGAATGTTTATACAATTGAACCTGACTGTATGTTGAATGTTTATACAATAGAACCTGACTGTATGTTCAATGTTTACTGAGTGTATTAGTGGATACTGCAGGTTCTACAAATTATAGTATAGGTTATAACAGGCTATTAGAATTATCACAAGGTCTTTCAGGTTAATAGAGAATAAATGATGGTTTTGAACGTCATAAGAGCTGAGGGTTACAACACGACCAAAACCCGGAGCTGCAAGCTGTAGTTCAGGTCTTTAAACAGCGGTCTGGGGACTATATCGCAACATGCAGTGACAATCAATATGCTGAAGGCTTTATAAGGGTGATGACTATGTTTCAGGCAATTCGTTTGTAAATACATCTCTCTCTCTCTCTATCTCTCTCTCTCTCTCTCTCTCTCTCTCTCTCTCTCTCTCTCTCTCTCTCTCTCTCTCTCTCTCTCTCTCTCTGTATATACGAGTATCCATTTATTTATCTCTATATCTCTATCTCTCTTTCTAGCTCTATTAATTGCATTTCATTAAATAAGTTATTGATGTGTGTTGATGTATTAGAGACGTCTCCTATCTGAAATCGTGCAGTAGGATATGTAAATATATTTTTTTATTAATGTAGTTCGATCCAGTGATGATAAATGGAGAGGTTTCAAGTGAGTTGTTTTGTGTATCCAAGGCTGTGTGGATGTTGAGAGGTGATTATTATTTTATGTTGTGTTTATATTATCGCATTTCTCTTTCTCTCTCTCTCTTACTGTCTTCTCCCTGAGTGTGTTAAATTTCTCTTTCTCTCCCGTTCTCTCTCTTTTTATCTCTCTCTCGCTCTTACTCTCGTTCTTGCTCTTGCTCTAGCTCTCGCTCTCGCTTTCGCTCTCTTGCTCTTGCTCTCGCTCTCGCTCTCTCTGAACCTAAGGGTGTTATTCCTTTATTCAATACTCGTGTAGAAGAGGTCCAAGGTCGTCATCTGTAAGTCGATGATGGGTGTTGGCATGGGTGGCGAGTCAAGAGACAGGAGCTGGAGTAACGAGAAGCGTCCGGGTGTACAGACAAACGAACACTGCAATACTTTTAGTTTTATTTTGACATATTGTTTCTACCTTTCACTCGTATACTTAATTTTCTTTTTCTTTTTCACATTTCTTTTCCTTTCTTTGTTTTCTCCTTATTGTTTATCATTTTCTCCAATAAAGTGTAAAATATTGATAGGGAAGATGAAAACGAAAGGTCTAGAGGGGTGACTATGATAATGACAATATGCCGTTGTTTCCTCTCGCAGGTCGAGTGACGGAGGTGATAACTATTGTGGGGGGAAAAGCCCGTCTTCCGTGTGACGTCTCGCAGCCCGGCGACACACCCATCTTAGTCCTCATCTACAACGGAGCGACAGGAAGACCCGTCTACAGGTGAGTATGTTACCAGTAGATTCTTCTACAGGTGGGTGTAATACAGGTAAAACAGTCAACAGGTAGGTTCTTCTACAGGTAGGTATATTACAAATAGATCCATATACAGGTGGGCATTTTAAAGGTTTATTCGTGTACAGGTGAATGTATTACATGTATATCCCTCGATGATTGGGTAAAATACAGGTAGGTCCTTCTACAGGTAATGAGGTCAACTACTGAGATGGAAAACAAGACAAAAATATACCTATCACAGCCCGTCTATTCTGTTGGTTGTATTGATTGACTGACTGATTGATTGACTGACTGATTGATTGATTGATTGATTGATTCATTCATTCATTCATTCATCATTTTTTATTTAATTTATTCATTATTTCACGAGACATATAACTTATTCATTCAGTCGTTTATTGGTTCATTTCATTCATAGTACACAGTAATAATAGATTAGCAATATAATCTACGTAAAAATTAACAACACGACACCAAACTTTTAATGTGTATATGAGAACAAGACAAATATTTTTCTTTACATAGTTACATTTCCTTTAGTAAGTTAGTTATAAGTGGACCACACACACACACACACACACACACACACACACACACACACACACACAGAGAGAGAGGATGGAACTAAGATTAATTCACCAACCCGGGTTAGTTACAGAACGAATCTATTAGCGTCCAGAAGTAATTTATTTTCCATCTGATTATAGGTTATGAACATTTACATACTGAATTACGCTGCATTGGTCACAGGAACATTTTCTGTACAGGGAAGTGTATGATCTCTCATTGAGTTTTACTACAGTGAATTATTAGGACTCTCAGCGGGGGCCAGGGTAATATCTAGTCATGAAGTAGTTAGCGTGGGTGACTGAGAGAGAGGGGGGAGTGGGAAGGGGCGAGGGAGAGAGTGGGTAGAGAGTGAGAGTGGGGTTTTTGGAGTTAGTAGGAGAGAGAGAGAGAGAGAGAGAGAGAGAGAGAGAGAGAGAGAGAGAGAGAGAGAGAGAGAGAGAGAGAGAGAGAGGGAGGGAGGAGGGATGGACCCCCCAACCCACAGCCTATAGTGGTGGTCCAGGTAAGAACGCAATGTAAAATCGACTCTCTGGTGAGGAGGTTGAAAGGAGAATATTTCCGAGGTCCTTCCCAAGTCAAAACTTAATTTTCCCCACGAGAGATGAGGAAGGACCAATCTGCACGCGACCCCAACAACCACCCCCCAAAAAAGTGAGAAAAAAAAAGCGAGAAAAAAAACGAAAAAAAAGCATTATATACGACTTGATGCTTGTGATTTACAGGCGAAAAAAAATGGGGAGGTGGGTCATAAAAGGTTATTATTGACTCATGATAGGATGAAATGTATGATGAGGTTATGGTGGAAGAAAGTGATAGTGGTGGTGGTGATGATGGTGGTGATGGTGATGATGGTGGTGGTGATGATGATGATGGATGTATTAACACTGTGAGACATCTACCCGCTAGACGAATATCTACTGCATGAATAACAGGGAAATATCCATCAAGATAATATCCTTCAAATACTATCAACCGGGGGGAATATCCTTCATATGAATATACTTAAGAGTTTATATGAATATCCGCCAAGGGAATATCCGCCTAACTTCCTCCTCGTCCAGGTCATATAGTACGTGTCCTGGTATATACTGTTTATATTCCATACAAGTTGAAGCTGCACAGGGAGCAAGCTTAATTAAACTTGTAAAACTTATTAAGCTCTGGTACACTGAAATTATGATAAAGACGTCAACACATGGTACCGTCAACACATGGTACCGATTACTGTACCTCTATACCATTAAATTTGTAACTGTACTCTATACCATTAAATTTGTAACTGTACTCTATACCATAAATCATTATCTGTACTCTATACCAAAAATCATTATCTGTACTCTATACCATAAATCATTACCTGTACTCTATAACATAAATCTTTACCTGTACTCTAGACCATAAATCATTACCTGTACTCTATACCATAAATCATTACCTGTACTCTATACCATAAATCATTACCTGTACTCTAGACCTCAAATCATGTATGCTAATTAACCTTGAATGCTTAGCCCGGACATATTTACTACTGTATTGGAATAAATTACTCCATTTATTACTTATCCTGGTTGTAAATATCCTACGAACATAATATATGATGCGAGTTTATAGGGAAAAATTACCATCCATATGCTTATAAAAATTCAACAATCAGTAAATAAACAAAGATATGAAGTAGGGTTTTGTGATGCGTGTTTGTCAGCGCCATCTAGGTAATGTATCCTCAACTATTGGCAGGCCATTGTTGATTCTCTATATTGATGATATCTCCAGTTTTAATGCAGTTCTGAATTGTGATTGGCTGATCATTTTTCTTTCCATTGGGTGTATTTTTTATGAGTAACTGTCATAGAGTGCAATATCCACTCACAAAAAATATGGCCACACGAAAATTATATTGTAATTACGTGTACGTTATAATTTATAGAGTGCAAGATAAAATTACTTAATTCGAAAATTCCACATAATAACGTGTTTATTCTGAATATATCGGTGATAAATTGAAATACTCGTCAAGAACATTAAAACGATATTGTATTTTATCGATGTGGGTATAAAATATTCTGGGGATATTATCTACAGTTTATTGAGGTGTGATAATAGAAGTATAGTAGTAGTAGTAGTAGTAGTAGTAGTAGTAGTAGTAGTAGTAGTAGTAGTAGGAGTAGTAGTAGTTTCAGTGTCGGTAGTTGTAGTAGCAGAAGTAATAATAATAATAATAATAATAATAATAATAATAATAATAATAATAATAATAATAATAATAATAATAATAATAATAATAATAATAATAATAATAATAATAATAATAATAATAATAATAATAATAATAATAATAATAATAGTATCTTTAGTACTAATAGCAGTCAATACTATTAATGGTAAAAGTATTCGTACTAGTAAAAGCAGAAATAGGAGACAGGTGAGGAATAGAATAGTACCTGTCTAAAAGGTCGATGAATTTTCTTAAGTTTTTCAGATATAAAGGTCACTGGCGGCCCAAGTAGAGACTTCAACAGATCGATGGATTAAATCTTCATTTCGTATTTTGTCTCGTAATTCTGGGAGAGATACTGTAGATAGATGGGATTTAAAGGTCAGAGTTATCAGAGACGCGTCAGTAACATGATTAGGATACTCTTATGGATGAAGGTCATTGGAAATAAAACTTGATAAGGGATTATAGATTTTAGCCTTAGTGGGATTAAGGGCTGTTTTTCTTAATTCTAGTTTTCGCTATTGTGTTGGTAGGCTTAAAGGACTACTGATTGGAAAAAAATAATTATACATTGGTAAAAGTATTTGACATTGTTCTCTTAGGGTTAACGTACACACACAAACACGCACACGCACACACAAGCGCGCGCGCACCCAGCAACATCAAGAGGCAGTATATATAACATATTTCATCACAATACACTACCTACCTTCACCCTCGTGTCCCCTGTAAGTCAAGTATGTGGCCTTAGTACCCGGCCACCAGGAATTATTTCCCTCCCCCAGTGTCACGGCTCATTGTTCCCCGGGGAAATATTACCCCAGCGAGGGTTGTGGACGCTCTTGTCTGTCTAAATCTTTACCCAGAAATGAAAAGGAAAAAAAATACCCAGAAATGTTATGTTTGCCTGTGTGTCGGGGAAGGCGCGACCGGTGTGGGTATACGAGTATGTTAGATGTATATGAGCTCTCAATGCAAACATAGTGTAACGTAACCTAAATTAGACTGTGCTAGATTGTAAATTATAAATGACTCAGGTCGGAGGTAAGGCAGTAATTCCCCGTGACGCTGTTACTGGCTGCCTCTCTCTCATACTCAATGATGGGAGGTATATTGAAGCTAGTTGGGTCATCTTATGTCCTTCAATTCCTAGGCGAGTCCTTCAAATCCTTGGTGGGTCCTCCAAGTCCTAGGCGGGTTCTTGTAGTCCTTGGCGAGTCCTCCAAGTTCTAAGCGAAGTTGGAAAAATCAAAAGTTCCTGAGTCTCTCATTAGAAATGTTTCCCGGTGTCTTGCTTTCTGTCCTTATTTCCAGGTTTGCTTTGACTCGGTCGGCGTGGCAGCGGCAACAAACCCAGCGACTGTGACGGTGAATATCCCATTTCCAAGTCAGCGCCACTATTACATAAATTTCCTTGGTACATAGAGCTAAAAGCAAAGGAAATTAACGTCGACGTATTTTATGCATTCCATTAAAGGTGAAGGTAATATTTTTGGATTGAGTTTTTTACTAAAGGTCAGTGAATGTCAATAGCGGCGTAACTCAGCGGTGAAGAAGTTAAACCCGGGTCACGTATTGGCACAACCCCTTTCTTAGCCTTTGTTGCCAAGACTTGAAATATGTAATTACAAAGTGAGAGAACTGTAAGGTGGAAAATATATATTACAAGTTGCAGGAGTGATTAAGAGTTTGCATCGATTGTTGCTGTCACCCGAGACCTAGCTGGCCTAAATGTTCTTTTATTTAGACAATTACGGTCAAAGGTAACAACAGGGTGAGAGTAATGGCCACTGAAATATGAAGTACACACACACCAACACACACGAGACCACACCAAATCACTTATCTTCTTTCTAATTTACCTGCGACTAGTAACACAGGGGGTGTTCACTTGTTGCAGGTAACGCAAAGCTATCAGAACCAGGAAGTCTGTACACCACTACCGACTCTACTCACCTGACTCATAAACTCTGTAGATAAGACGTTAACTCTGAGATACAAAGACCATCAGGTAACGCAAAGCTATCAGAACCAGGAAGTCTGTACACCACTACCGACTCTACTCACCTGACTCATAAACTCTGTAGATAAGACGTTAACTCTGAGATACAAAGACCATCACGGAAGTCATAAAGAAAATAATGTTGCAGCAAGTACCAATCATTGCTGAAGAACCTTGAGAGTAACAAATGGTATA